ATCCCCACCACCTCTCTTCTAGCAACCATCAATTTTTTCTCCGTATCTCTCAGTCTATTTCTGTTTAGTTTGCTCGTTTATTCTGTTCTTTAGATTCCACATATCAGTGAGATCATATAGTATTTGCCTTTTTCAGCCTGACTTATTTCACTTAGCATACTGTCCTGTAGGTCCAATCATGTCATTGCAAAGGGTAATGTTTCCTTCTTCTCTATGGCTGAGCAAATACTCCATTGTATAAATGTACCACAGTTTCTTTTTCTGATTGTCTATCAGTGGCCATTTCTGTTGTTTCCATATCTTGGCTATTGTGAAGAGCACTGCCAGGAACATAGGGGTGCATATTTTTTTCAAAGTAGTGTTTTGGATTCCTTTGGATAGATACCCAGGAGTGGAATTGATGGGTCATAAGGAGGGTCTTCAATTTCAAAAGGCTAAACCAATGAGAGCCATTAGGATGTGTTGTTCAAGAAGGGGGACATTCAGGTGCTTTGAGTAAAGGAGGGGAGTGACTCCATCTCGGGAACTGGCTTCCCAGAGACGGCCTGGGACAAAGGTTATTTTTCTCCAGGGTTCCGCAGGGTGGAAGATTCCAGGGCCTACTCACATACAGGGCCAGGGAGGGTCTGGGGCATGACATGGATGACTGTGGGGATGGACGGGCTGTGGCCTTGGAGGAGGCCCTGGGCTGCGAAGGCGTTGGTGCCTGGCAGTCAGCAGGTAACCAGGGCGCCCCCAAGGACTAAATACTGAGCCTCACCCCTTCCCCAAGTCCAGGGACCCTGACACCTCTTAAATGCAGGTGGAGGGAAAAAGAAAATATGGCTGGAGTTAGACCTCTCTGGAGCAGAGTCAAATTTGATTTAAGAGAAGCCAAGAAATGTAGCATTTTTTTTTATCCCGTGAGGGTCCTGTTGTAATTTATAGCCACGATAGTGGTTTCCTGGAAAACATCAGAGTTTGACTCATGTTTCCTTTTTATTCTGAAATTTGGGATTGTATGTTGTGCCTCCAACAGGAGCCCATACTTTTGTCCAGACAACATTGGCTAAGACCACCGAGTTCTGAAGCAACAGGCATCAGCTAGCTGGTCCTGGTGGTTATGTGTCAGGAGGGGCTTGCAGGACACGAGGTTCTTGTCTCAGGAATGAATGAGAGCAAAACAGCAAGAGGAAGCTGTGTTCTTATACCCTGTTACTCGAGGGAGGGAATCAAGGGCTCCTTCGGATCTACTTCATATTTGGCTGGCCAGCTGTAGGACAGAGCTATCTGTGTGACTTCCTGTGTGTCACTTTCTGTATGTCACTTCCTGCTTTTCATAGGGATTCCAACTTGGACTTCTGGGTCTGATATCATATTTCATCCAATCCAGCCAGAGCCTAGTTAACAGTAGCTCTGTGGAGTGATGGTTCTGGAAAAAAACAAATATGGTCACGAATAATCCATTTAATTATTTGGAAGTAGTTTGGATATAAAAGTAATTAGACTATAACCTTTACTTGAGTTAACGTGTTTGCCCCCCTGCTTATCTGTCTGGGTTCAGATCCTGGGTCTTTTCCTCACCAGTTCTGTGACCCTGGCCAAGTAATTTGATCTCTATGTGCTTTAATTTTATCCTTTGTGAAATGGGGTTAAGAATAGTATTTATCTCATTGGGTTTTCATGTCTCTCATTGGGTCAGATTAGTAAACAAAAGTATGCCTGGCACATAGTAAGCACTCAATAAATAGTAATCACTATTATTATTAGTCTTTCACCTGAGTAGGAGACAGGGGCATGTTTTTAGTAGTTATGGAATTCAGAGAAAGAGTTTGAAAAAAGCTATTTTATTTTTTCTTTTATTTGTAATAGGTCTATTAATTATAACTTTACTAAACATTCTAGGTTGTGACCATCGAGATAGGACTGACAATATCATTTCATTTTTAGAAGGTTTTAATTCTCCTTTCTATTGGTTCAGATTTATTTATTTTTATAATTTAAAGAATATGTTAAAATTCCTTGTTTTTATCACAATAATGACCTTTCTGAACTGAATCCATAGCCTTCAGACAGATGGGATGGCAGATCCCAGCCCTCGTAGCTTCTCTATGGTCAGAGACAGGCTAAAATGCACGGCACCCCCTCCTTTCAAACAGAGGTGCCCGCTACTGCCTGGGTCTAGAGCAAGAAACAGAAAGGAAACATGTGTAGGGCTGTTCCTTAAACTCCCCACTTTTTAATGTTGTTAGATCTCATCAATGGTGTGCTTTAGAAGAGGGTTGCTTGGGGTCCCTCCATGTCTGCCGCTGACGCACGGCGGCTCTCTTTCCCACAGTGACGGCTGGAGCCCTGGTGGCCCTACTCCAAGACCCCATGGAGAATGGAGGGATCTCATGTAACAGGCGCTGTGTGTGCAGGCCTCAGGCTCAGCCCTTCCACAGAGTGGGGTGTTCCCTTCCTATTTCAGAGCCTGAGGTTTGGGACACAGGCAGGTGCAGGGTGCCATCGGGGTACGTCATGGACAAGGCTGTGAAGTGAATGGACGCAGAGCAGGACCAAGTTCCCTGGGCTACTGAGGGAGCAGGGTGTGTGTGTGACCATTACAGCTCTCTGACCACATGATTTAGATCACAGCCGGAAAGCGTCAGTGTTCTTAAAGCAGTCAGACCTCAGCTGGCCCTCCCAGCAGTCTTTCCAGCTAAAGGAGCAGTCAGCTGACTCTCGTACCTGCTCTGATGGCAGCTGCCATCATGTTCTGTCCCAGGAAAGAAGCCCGGGCCCTTGGAGTGGCACCACTTCTACCCGAGCGCCTCGCGGTGCCTGGAGAGCCAAGCCGCCAGGCACGTTTCGCTTTGTCTCTTCCTTCTTCTGACTTTTGCTTCCTTCCTAGTGGAGGCCTACAGCTCACCGGTAGAAAACGGCATTGTCTTCACTTTGTGATTTATGGCGATTATCCTTATCCCAGGGAAGCCCGGTACTTCCCGCTCTGCCTCTGGGTTTAAGCCAGGAGGATATGGGGCCTGTTCTGGGTGGGTGTTGCTCAAGCATCTTTTGGGTGATTATCATCCTGGCCCTCGTCTGGTTTTCTCATCATGGGTGGGTCATGGCCACTCCCTGAGTGCCCCCGTGCTTTGCAATGCAGAGCCCCGACAGTGTGCTGACAATGCTCACCAGCCCCTTAGCAGATAGAATAACAGTCTGGAAACAGAAATGAATACTCTCCACTTCATAAACAACCACATCCAAAAGGTTTATTCCTGTATTGCAAATAAACCCCACTCACCAAACTCCCATTCACTTTTAATTCGGCTGTCATTAAATCACCCACATAAATACATATAATAAATACAAAAACAGAAAGGGTTGTTGTTTGTTTTTTTAAGTCTTTGGTATACAGAGCTTTTCTCCTGTTCTCAGTTCCCCCTCCTTCCCTGTGTTCTAAGCCCACTTCCTCAGTTCACATTATGCCTTTGGGCACAAAAAACAGCCCAGAAGTAAACTTTGTGCCGTGGTCCTGCGTCCTGATGTCTTACGGTGCTCAGGGAGGGGCAGGTCCTGGGGACTCACACGTAGTCGTTCAACCTGTACCCGCTGTAGGAAGCCGAGGTGATCGAGGGAGCCCGGTTGTCTTTGTAGGCGGTGGGTGGCCGGTAGGAGGGCGCGGTGGTGGCCGCGGTGGCAGTGGTGGCCCTGGCCTGAGCCTGGGAGGGCCTGGAGGGCGCCTCGTCCTGGCAGGCCAGGCAGAGCAGGGTGCCGCCGATGATCGACAGGGACGAGGAGATGAAGCCGAGGTACAGGGCCTGCCCGATCTCGAACTTCATGCTGCTGGGCAGCAGCGGGTTGTAGAAGTTCTGCACCACGTCGTTGGTGGTCCAGGAGACCGCCACCATGCAGAGCAGGCCGGCCAGGATGAAGAGCGCGCCGCCCAGCACCGCGAACGTGGTCTTGGCCGGCGTGCCCTTGGCGCAGCGCGTGCATTTCATGCCCACCACCGCGCAGGCGCAGGCCACGCCCGAGAGCAGGCAGGAGATGACCATGAGCGCGCGGGCCGCCTGCAGGTCGCTGGGCAGCGCCAGCAGCGAGCGGTAGATCTGGCACTGGTAGATGCCCGTGCTGTGCCACACGCACTCCATCCACAGCCCCTTCAGGTAGGACACGGCCGTCAGGATGTTGGTGCCCACGTGCGCTGTCCTGCGCCAGTGCGGCAGGATGGTGGTGATCAGCGTGCCCACCATGCCCAGGAAGCAGAACAGGAAGCCCAGGAGCTGCACGGCCGTGCTGGCCATGGCCCCGCCGGGCAGCTGCCGCGCTCGCTCAGGTGCCCGCGGGAGTCCTAATGCAGCCGGGGCGGCGGCGGGGGAGAGAGAGGAAATGGGTTAAATATTATCTTGGGGCATTTATTTCTAGCACTGAAACTGAGTTTTCCATAGGCAGTTGGTATGACAATTAACATATTTTAAAAAGTAGTTTCTGAGACTTCACCGGGTGAAAGAATCAACTGCTCCTCTATGCTACTTTCCCTGGAAGGGATGACAGCAGGAGCCTGGCTGGCCTGCGCTTGTCAAGGACCCCGTGGTAGGGCACTGCCAGCTCCGCCCCCCCCCGCACCCCCATTTCTAATATCGCAGCACGTTTGGGAAGTCCCACCTTGTGTCTACCCTCAAACACTTGTGCTGCATTTAAATTTCATTTCATTCTGTTCCGTCAGCAATCACTTCACTTGCTAAATCAACAACGGGACTGACAATTGGTAAGATGTGTCTGCTTATGACTTAGAAAATAGCCTTAGACTGCCTGTCAAAATGAAACATAGGGAGATTTCCCTATGTGCTCAGGTAGGACGGGTTTAGCATCCAGAGGCAGGTCAGACGCTGCCTTTCAGAATCCCAGAACTGGATGTGACCTTAGAGATTGTCCACTGACACCAGGGGCAGGGACTACCAAGGTCACTAGCTCTTTAGGTGTGCAGCCAGGACCACACACCACTGATTCTCTCCTCCCCACGGGATGTCTCCCCTCACTACTCTGCGGAGGGGTGGGCTTGTCACAAAACAAAGACTGCTACCTGGCTCTCAGAGCCATTTTGGAGGTTTAAAAACATTCTAAGCATGGCAAAATCCACAACACTTCCTGGAGGCAAGGACCCAGCACCTATGTAGGGCCAGGCATATAGGGGATACTCACGAAATCTTGGGAGGCAGGGAGGCAGTGAGAACAGAACTACCTCAGTGGACACCACTAGCTGCTATCTCCTGCCTGGGCACTGTGTCCACCCCCACCCACTGGGTGACTTGGGGCCTCTCTCTGGGGCTCAGTTCCCTCCTCTTTAAAATGAGGGAGCAGGGCTTCATGGTCCCAAACTGTCTTCTGGCTTTACAGAGAGAGAAAGAAAGCTTCTGTGCTGCTGCTGAGTCACTTCAGCGTCCAACAGCGGGGAAGAATTCAGGAGGCGAAACCTGCTGCCTCCTTCTCAGAGCAGAGGAATGTTCTGCGCCAATGCCAGGAAGCCTGCAGGGGTCACACCGTGGGCTGGCAGGGCGGCTCCCAGGCACGGCAGACGCTCACTGTGAGCTGTCCCTGGGGTCCCACAGGCCTTCTTGTCTTTAATTCTGGGCCCGTTGTGAAGAAACCCCCTACTAAATCACGATGAAAGATTTGCTTAGTAACAAGCGATACTTCCACAGGGAGCCTATGCCGTCATCTTTTTAAAAAAGGTGGATTTAAAAACATAGACAGGGCTTAAATGCCTTAGCATTGTAGCAGGCAGGCCTTAGTTCTGTCCTGGTGAACAAACAAACAAAACTAGGTAACAACAAAACATCGTGGTGCCGGACAGGACGTGCAGTGGTCTGTCTGGTGTGGGGGGCAGGGTTAGGGTTTTTGCTGGTGTTTTAAATGATTATTTATAGTTCAAGACCCAGTTTTCTTCACATACACTTCGTGCTGATTGACCATATGCATCTTGTCACCATTCTGGCTTTCTTTAGGAAGTCACCTTGCTTCCTCCCGGCAAGGGAGCGCTCTGGGCAGGTGCTGGGCTGGGACTGGGGAGACCCTCCCCTCCCCCAGTGTCTGCCGTCCAGGGACGGTAGGCCGGGGAGGAGGTGGGACCCCCAGAGGAGGCTGCTGCCAGCTGACCTACCCCAGGCACTGGGCGCCCACAGCAGAGCTGACACCGGAAGCGTCCATTTATTGATGCCCAGTTAATTCCCCACAATAACCCAGTGAAGCAGCCCCTGTTGCCATCCTGTTTTATACACGGGGAAACTGGGTGCCGGGGATGCAAATCCTAGGCCTGGCCTGGCTGGTACTTTCCATGGTCTGTTTCCTCCAAACACTATCTTTCTCAATTCAATAGGACTGAAGTTATGATGAGGGCCTGGGGTGGTATCATCAGTGCTTTCTGGGGAGTAGGTGTTCCTCCTTGAAGATATCCTAGAACCTTGGCTTCGATCCGGTGGCTCAGTGGCCAGGGTGACCAACTGTTCTGGTTTGCTGGGGACTGCGAGGTTGCCCAGGCGAGGGGACTTTCAGCGTTGAAACTGGGACAGTCCCAGGCAAATCAGGATGGTTGTTTCCTCCAAGTAGCCCAGAGGCTGTGGGCTTCTCCCCGTGGCCTCTGAGATCCTTGCAGTCCCTCCTGAGGCTGCCTCCTGGCTGGTGGCTCACAGGCTGTCCCTGGTCCAGGGCACTCTGAGGCTTCTCACAGCCCTTGTTTGTCAAGGTCAACCATTAAGTACACTGGTCCTAACGAATGCGGCATAAAAGCTAAGCCTACTGACCCCTGTAGTCTAGGGAAGTGGACCAGAAGCTTACTGGAGGTCTAAATATTTATGGAGAGCAGTGACTGCTAATTTTAGAAACCATTTGGTTGCTATTTTTAAACCTGTGCTAGAAGGAGTTGCTAATTTAAGAAGTGAATGTTAATGAGCCTCCAATTCCCAGACACCAGCCCCCTCCCCCGCCCCACAGCCCCCAAAGTTACCAGCAGCTTCTACTGGCATTAGGTCATAATTCAACTTCCCAGCAACTACTTTTCACTTTGGGGCCTTTCATGAAAAAACAACTTCAAACGAATGTATCACCTTGGAAGCCACATAAAACTCATCCCCCAAGCTCTGGAAGGAACTTGCCCAAGCGTGGCCTCCCAGGAGGGGCCGTGGTGCCGGGATCCACTGGCCATATTGGGGGTCCTGGCTTCATCTATGGGTGACCCTTTTCCTGCAGACATGTGTGTACTTGTGGGAGCATTTGCTACAGAAATGTGAGTCCAAGACAAATATGGTTCCAAGAATCAAGCTCCAAGAAGACCTTGTCAGTCTGGGTGGGTGGGACTGATGGAACAAGATGACGCATTCCAGGAATAAATGTTGGGTCTTGCATTTGGGTTGACAGAGCCTAAGCCCCCAAAGCACAAACCTGGGTGGGCAGGACGGGGCTTAGCATGTCTGAGCAGGATTTAGGGCAGTGCTTCCCAACGACTGCTGCTTAGAACACTGTGTTTGCCAGGCGCCTTCTTGGGTGGAGGACGTACAGCAGGTAGGTTTGAGGAAAGCTGGTACCTATAGGACTTCTTATCGCTCCTAATAAGCAAATGTGTACTGTGAATCTCCCAGAAAAGTCTCCTGTGTGGCATTTTCTAAACTTATTAGGCTGGAGGCATCCTCCCTCCACTTTTCCAAGGAACAACTTGAAGTCAGATCACTTTGGCAAGTGGATTTAGAGGATGTAAAACCTCTGAATGTTTAACGGAGTGATGATGCGATAGGGCTGCTAAAAAAAAAAAAAAGACCACTTGGTTTTCAGGAAGGTGACTGAGCTCAAATAGGAGGGCCTGCGAGACGCTCTGATTTTCCACTGGCAGAGGGTCAGCAAACCCCAGGGCTGCAAAGTAATGTGAAAATCTGCAAAGGGCAGCTGCGAAAAACACCAGAGCTGCTGTCAGCACCCCCAAACCGGATCTGATTTTGTGAGCATCAGATCTGAAAGGCGAGAGGTGTTTTTCCATATAAATTTTTACTCTGTCTCCTTCCTCTGTTGTCTACGAAAATGTCTCTGTAAAAAACATTGTCTGTAGAAAAATCTTTTTTTTAAAGGAAAGAATTAAAAAAAAAAAAAAGGCAGTCCCCCCTCCACCCCAGCACATGGTGGTGCACCCTGCGTCATGCTCATCTCCCAGCCTGTCTGGACCCCAGCAGTGTCAACTCCAGGGCTTCGTCTCCAAATTAGGCGTCATTTCAACAGCAGTGGCCAGCGGGGATAGCCTGGCCGGGACAAGGGACAGATGTGTTGTTCGCCCAGCCCCTGCTCCTGCTTTTTTACTGTCCGGTATCCCTCAGCCCCTATAATGAAGAGCTTTCCTGTGGACACACATGGCTCCCTTTCCCATCCGCACCGCTGAAGGAAGTGTCAGGCCCAGGACAGGAGCAGAGCGTGTCCCACGTGGGGAAGTCTGGCACGGGCAGGGAATGTTGGAAGTTTTCTTACCCAGAGCCTCCTGGGCGCTCCTGTCTGGGTGAAGAGTTGGGTGATTTGGCCACTAGTGCCCTGCAGTCAGAGCGGATTTAGAGCTGCCTGGGAACGGGTCATTACACGTATGTCTGTCCCAATGGCTCCTGAAGTGGCATTGGACCCATGGTGCTGACAGGGTAAAATTTTGTTTCTTAGAGCTTGATCGGGAAAACGGAGAGCTGCAGTTAAAGGAATGTGGTCCTTGGACTTGGCAAGAATGCAGATTTGCCTCAACTTTGATGTGCAACAATTGAAGAAAATTTCTAGTTCAAAAAACTCTGTGTCATTTCTGTCACCCCAGGCAGACTGCCTCTTCATTATTGTTTAGATATTCCATAGTGCTGGAATTTTGAGAACTGAGAACACACTCAAGGGAAATTAGGATTCATCTAAATGAGATAAATTAGCAAAACTACCCAACAGGAGGAAAAGCAAAAGACTTTTATGCTGTATCAGAATGAAATACCTCCAATGAGGAATTCCTAAATATCTGTTGGATACTGTGTTTCTTAATAAGGTAGAAAGCAAATGGATCTCTTTTCTAGAAGCGTACTCTAGAGGTGCTATTTTAGTACATCTTCCTCTACAAGTATAAACGAATTATGAGAAAGTGATCAAGTAATGCCTTGGAAAAACCATTTCATATTCACTTAGGACAGGCTGGACTGTGGGTTTTTGGGCTCTAAAAATGAAGTTTCCTTTATTAAGATCCCAAACTTTCTGTAACTTTCCGTGGGTTATTTTTCAGACTGGCAGGCATGGGTATTTTAAATTTACGAGGACTTCTATGCCATCTACATACGATACAGAAGAACTGCAATCCTTCTGAGAGAGGCAGAGACGGAATAATTATATGACTAACTTATTAGTAACATGATAGTTAGGGCATGCTAGTGTTATTCAGGAAAATCAGTGTGAAATATCTTGCCCGAATCATATGTAATTGACAATTTATAGATGAAAATTTTACTCTTTTTTATGGACCAGTAAAGAAAAATCTACTTTTCATAACAAGAACTGGCTTGGGGAAAAGCCACATTAATACAAATGAAAATCATGGTATGTGGTTAAATGCTTGTAGAGGCCATTTTCAATTCAGTGAGATTGAGTGAGCTATTGATTTAGTGAACACTGTAAGCTAAGTTACCACAACCATAAAAATTCTAAACCATTTCCCAGGAGACATTATCTCTCTAATTTCAACTCACCAGATTTCATTAGAACCCATTAAAAAAGGCAGTAGATCCACAGTTTAAAATGAACTCATCGAATTTCATTTAATAAAATACATTGGTGTCTTTGCATAGCTGCTTTTCCTGACATGATAGTTGTGTAGATTTGCTGTTGTTTTTCATTTTTCAATGAAAACTAAAAACCTGCTACCCAAGAAAAATTTTAGAAATGTAAAAAAAACCCCCCAAAAAACAGGTTCTAAGGATATTTTCTGAAGTGTTAAATGATAATGAAAAGAGCAATAGTTAAAGTGTTCTTTGGGAAAGCTTTATATAAGGGCTGTTATGGGCTGCATTTTGTCCCCCAAAGAAGATAACGTTGAAGTCCTAACTTCTAGTGCCTCCAAATGTGACCTTATTTGGAAATGGAGTCACTGTAGACGTAATTAGTTAAGATGGGGTCACCCTGGAGTAGAGTAGGCCCCTAAACCAATAAGACCGGTGTGTTATAAGAAGATGGCCGTGTGAAGATACAGAGAAATAGGGAGGATGCCATGTGATGACAGAGGCAGAGACTGGAGTGATGCAGCCAAGAGCCCAGGTACAACACACCACGGATTGGCAGAATACCAGAAGCTGGGACAGGGGCCTGGAACAGATTCTCCCTCAGATCCTTCAGCAGGAACCAACCCTGCTGACATCTGGATTTTGGACTTCCGGCTTCCGGAACTCTGAGACATAAGTTTCCGTTGTCTTAAGCAGCCTAGTATATGGTACTTCGTTTCGGCAGCCCTAGGAAACCAATACAGGGGACTAGCTGAATGACAGAGTGGGGAGTTATAGGGAAAGAAAGCACCCATGTCTGAAGACAAGAAGTGGGTCCCCTTCCAGAACAAGCATGGAGCAGGGCCTGGTGGCTTCACATCTGTCATGGGAAACAAGGCGGTGGTTAGCTCCATGTCCCAAGGTGTGGAGGACAAAATCCAGGGAGAGATTAGAGGACATGGAGAAGGAAGAATTTGGAAGGCCCTCTGTACTTGTGAAAACTCAAGAGCAAGTGCCAACTACAGTAAGCCACCCATATGGTGATCCAATGACTCAGCTGCTCC